GCAGAAACCTCAGGGTGAGAGACAGAGGAGGGGATCCTCCCTCACCCATGACGGGCGGGTGGGCAGTAGCTGAAACAATCTACAAACAAGATTTACAGTTCCAGTTTCAATATACAGGTAATAGCAGCAAAGGTGGAGGCAGGAGTATGGAGGGCCCCTCCATACTCCTGCCTCCGAGGGGCCAAATAACAGATTTGCTTATTGTGATACAACATGTGATATAACATGCAGTCAGTCGCCCATGACATATTGATTATATTGGTTAGATTAATATATAATGGGGTTACATAAGATTTAAAACATAACAGATTTGCTTAATGTGATACAACATGTGATATAACATGCAGTCAGTCGCCCATGACATATTGATTATATTGGTTAGATTAATATATATTTTGCCACATGTATCCGCACATGCACAGTGTCCCAGTACAGCCCCAGTCTGTCCATCAGGGTGAGAACATATGGGTGAGAAGAGCTCTGAGTATCGGTACGTTTTTCTGGAGAAGCTCAGCCATTGACTGAAAGTCCATGTCCAGCAGACACTGGGCTGATGGAGTTATGGGAGTGCTCGCTCCCTCTCCCTCCCCTTCTCTCCCTCTTCTCTGAGGTGTAATACACCATAATCACCTCAAAAGAAGGACCAACCAAAGTATTTGAGCTGATATCTTGCCCAGAGCCAGTGGAGACATCTCCTCTTCACTTCACCCACAACAACAACCATTGATTCAAAGCTTTCCCAGAGCAGAGGAAAGAAAGATCCTCGTGGCTCCAGGTCTGCAGATGGAAGATGATGAAACTGTCAGAAACATTCAGTCTGCTACTGTACTGAATTCTGGGACTCCGTGTTACCATCAATAAAGACTTGAGTTTTTCTCTTACAGTTCAAGTCTATCTTTCTGCTACGACTTGAATGTGTGGACTGTGATTTATAAAACAAAAAGAATGTGAAAAAAATGAGTGCATTTAATACCAGGTACCATTACACGTCAACGTTTTCTGGGACACCAGTAACTTTGATGCACACCCCAGCTCAGTAGGTGGCGGTAAAGCACCTAATGCATGACATCAGAGCACAAAAACAAGTGTGAAGTAGTGATGGAAAAATGGAAAACAAAGCATACAATATATTATTAGAACGTCTCTGCCAAAAACACAAAAAAATATATAAATTATACATATATATGTATACATATATATGTATAATTTATATATTTTTTTGTTCACATCTTTTTTAACTTCTATAACATCAGGGAATAAAAGATGAAAAGAGGAGAGAACCTCAGTGTTTGCTGGTGAATCACTGCTTTTAATAATGTTTTAACACCAACACAGGAAAGAGAAATGGATGGAGCCCAACTAGCGGGGGCAGAGACACATGCTGGCCATGTTTTAATTGCCTTGCAGATTGTGTGACTGCATGCGTGTGGACTGGTTTTGTGGCCTTGTTAGGACAATTTCTAATAAAAACACGCAATTATGCAAAAACCGTGGTCGTCATGGGGACAGAAGTCCAGAGGTCCAAATGAGACAGAGCTCCATCTGATCAGAGGCTGCAGTTTTAATCCAGTTTCTAAGTTTGTTGTCGAGTGTTGACTGGTCGACACTGTAGAGTTGTAACTTCTAGAGGTTTACACACCTTTGTGTTGAGTGTGTGTGAGTGAACAGTTGGGGATGAAACTCCCACATGACATGGCAGATAAAAATAAAAATGGCACTGAGTTCTACTCGGAAAGAACAGTCAGAGCTGATTGGATTAATCAAATTGATGTCATAACAGTGGGGTTGTACTGAACAGAGACAAAAAAAATGACATGTCGGGGTACTTTCCCCCTCACTGTGGCATAAATATAGAAAATAAAAAATGAAAAATTTAGGGTCCCGCCCCTCACTTTGCAAAATCCACCGTCACAACATACGCCCGTACAGTGAGTACACCACATGGCCCTTCTGAAACACACCAACATGGCACTGGGAACCAGGTGAAACCAAATGTAGAACTTTCCAGATTCCAGGATAATATGTTTTCATTCAAATTCTAAAGTTTCATATTTCCATAAATATGACAGTGTTGAAGTCTCACAGATGTGACTCACACAGACGTCATGTTTGGAAACAATGTATGTTCTATGTTTTATTTGACCTTCTCTCTCTCATGCTCTCTCTCTCTCTCTCTCTTTCTGACAGAATGGTTTTAAAAGCTTTAATTAAAGCACATTAACGCAGTACTTCCTGCTTGTCTGAAAATGAAAGTGAAACCTGTTAAACTGCTGTACCTGCTGTCAGTCATCCTCAGAGAAACAGTCCAAAGAGTTCATGGTAAGTTAAACTAATATGAAGTATTCTGTTGGTTGAATGTTTAAAAAATAAAATTTCTTTTCTGACAGTTCAATCGTTCTGGTGATTGAACTGTAAAATAAATAATAATTGTAAAATAATTTTAAAAAATATAAGTTTTCTTCTTTTCTGACAGTTCAATCACCAGAACATGTGCAATTATAAAATAATTTTAAAAAATATAAGTTTTTAATTATTTTATAATTGCACATGAGCTAAAAACTGAAGAATGATCTTCAACCAGGCACCAGGTCAAACTCACGTCTTCTCGTCTGTTCACACTGCAGGCAACCGTGGTCCAAAGTGGATTTCCAAAGTGGACTTCAGCCATAAAAGAACTTTTATCATAGTGTCATCAACATAAATCCTTTTTTTTATTCAATCCACTATTTATTGTTTTTCAGAGCAGCTTCAGTCTGAATGGCCGAGTCATGTTTCATGGAACTTCTACGTCATTGAAGTGAGACATGTGTCCCACGATGGAGGGGACGCAGCAGATAAAATGTAGATGATGGACAAACTAACATTCAGTCAACTTTGTCCAAGTTTCCCTGGCTGGCCTGGGCGTGAGATGAAGATTTTATTTACACAACAAGGTCCAAATTGATAGTCACACAATAACAGTGTGTGTTACATCCACATCTTCTTCCATAAACACGGCACTCGTGTCGTCAGGTCTTCCTCTCCTCACACGGGTCACTTCAGAGGGTGAGACCCATTCATGAGGACATGCAGGTTATGAAGACGACTCATTCATCCTGGATGTTATTATTGGATGGTCCAGGTCATTAGGACAAGAATGCACCGTAAGAAAGGGAAGGGATTAATCTAACTTTGTTTTATGGTTAGTGGTCTTTGTTGTGCTGCACCACTATAAACAGACAGCTAATTAAAAGTTATGACTGTAATAATAATCGTCAGGGCAAAGGTTATTCTGTGGTGCTGCAATAAAGGAACTACAACAAACAAGCGTTCACCTGTGTGACGTCTTCTAATCACCACTGCCTATGCCTGGTCTGGTCTGGTGAAGGTAAATCCTTTCTAATCCCATTGATTTCATTTGTATAATGAATATAATAAAACAGATTCAGATACAGATCCATCTTCAACTGCAATTTTAATATAAATTTTAATAAAATAAACCAGAGCGGGGCTGGAAATGTTACATGTTTCTAGCCAACACATTTAATCACAGTTGTTTTCTCATTTCTGGCACACTGGTGACACTAATGCAAAGACTCCAGCCCAGTAGGTGGTGCAAACACACCTTTGGTCTGTTTGCCAGCTGCTAAGAAGATTCACAGGAGGTATTGACTGAGGGCAGTGCATGAGACCGTTTGGTGACCAGATGATGATGATGATGATGACGATGATAACTATATATACTGTATATATTATTTTTTTCTTCAAGCACTTTTCTTTAGACTGATGCTTTACAAAAAAGTAAACTGGCAAACAGATACGAACATGGATAAGAACATGGATATACACAATGTGTATATATGTATATATATAAGAATATATACACTAACAGGTACAAAAACATCTACATACCTATACATACACTGTACTACAGATATACTATATTGACTATACTATTGTTAAATGTACTAAAACAAACAGCATAAATATATTAACTGTACGTTCTTTCACTGTACGCACAATATCGATAAGAGGTTAAATTATTTAATTTAGTTTTAGTTTTCACTGTAAAATTGTAAGCAGTTCCATGTTTAATCATTTATTAGTCCAAACAAGTTCGCACGTCTTGTCCAGTCCACTCCTCTTCGGGACACCGCCGGGAATCCAGTCCATGTTTTCCCGGCGCCTCTCAGCCTCTGGCTGCTCGGTTTTTACTCACCTCCTGTCCTGATATCACTCCGCTGGCATGGTGGAGAAGCGAAGCTGATTATTGTGATGGTGGCAGCGGCAGCCACTGACTACACACTTCCGCCACCGATTCCCATATCCGCGTTTTGCACCGTCTGGTCTCCTCCAGCAGCGTCTCAGCCAGACTACCGAGGGCGCCTGTGCGCTACCCTGCAAACTCAAACATCTTCCCCTGGATTTCTTTCAAACCCAGATCCTGTGAGATGCGAGTTCCCTGGGAAACTTCAGAGCCCGTTCGGTCCATGCAGCAAAACTTTTTCTTTGAGGACAACAGCGTGAAACGGAGGGTGGACTGTTCTTGGTGCCGCTGCTCCTCTGCGGGACGTTTCCCGTGTGTGTGACCGTGGAGTGACTGCTGCTCCGGGGCTCTGTTCTTGTCCTTTTCTCCGGTGGAATTGTTGTTGTCATTCCCGGCGTGGCAGCGGTTTCATTGTTAAATCCTCTGCGGGTCTTTCACCCGGTCCCCACTCACTCGTGCTGGTTGTCGGTGGTTGTGTTTACGGAGGAGAGGTTTGTTTGGAAACAGAAGCAGACGCTCACTGACTCCCGTGAACCAGATGACTGCTTAGGCGCTCAGCCCTTTAAACCTGCCCGGCTGTTGTTGCCTCAGCAGCGGCTGTAGCTCCCGTCCTCTGCCTTCCTGCTCGGGACCCTTCGCCGGGGAGGACACAAAAGGAGAGGGCGCCTGGTGTTAGAGGCTGAGGTGGAGGAGGTAGTGGCGAGCCTGACGGGGGAGAAAAGTTCGTCCAAAATAGCAGCCACTCGGTCCAGTGATGGGGGACTTCGCCTCCCCCGCTGCCGGAGCCAACGGCAGTATCTGCATCAACAACAGCATGAACCCGGCCGCCGGGAGCGTTGTGCCCACCGGGGCGGTGGGCATACCTAAGCACAGCACCGTGGTGGAGAGACTGAGGCAGCGGATCGAAGGCTGTCGGAGACACCACGTCAACTGCGAGAACAGGTACCAGCAAGCCCACGCTGAGCAGGTGGAGATCGAGCGGAGGGAGACGGTGAGTCTGTACCAGCGGAGTCTGGAGCAAAGAGCCAAGAAGTCTGCGGGCGGCGGCAGCAGCAAGCAGCCGCAGAGCAAGCAGCCTGACCCGGACTCGGTCTCCTCCACGGAACAGAGGAATAACACGTTGATAGCGGTAAGTTGGAGTTTCTGTTCACGGCCACGACTTCCATAAGAGCCCCCCCTCCCCCCAAAAAAACACCTGTGTGTTCATTTCACAGATTTTTTTTCTGACCTTAAACCCTAAAGATGATTTGGTTCCTCAGCACCGTCTCATACTTTATAAACATACACTACCACTACTTGTACTTATACCAGTACCACCCTGTTACTGACACTATTTACTAGTATTACAACTTTCCGAGGTCCCTGGAAAAGCAAACAGTTGCTTCTCCTTCACTCTTGACTTTACTACTGCTAACATTTTCCACTCTTTAACCACTTGTTATTACCACGTTACCAATACTAGGTTTAGAACATCTCGTAGATGACAGGTACTACGTTGTTCCACCACATGTCAAATACTGATACCCTCCTACTACTACTAGAACTACTGCTTCCTGGGAGAATCCAGTGATGAGCCCTGAAGAAATCACACCGACTATAACAGTTAACTACTTCTAACTGTCAATACTCTGACAAATACTGCAGATTATATAATCTTTCAATCTGAGAAATACTGCAGATTATATAATCTTTCAAACACCACTACCTCAAGTCATAATACTTGCACCACTACCACCATCACTGATTGCACTTTAATATAACTAGTACTGCTCCTGCTTCCAGTACTTAATCTTCACTCAAAAAACTCATGTTAAACTTCTAGTGATACTACTAACGCAGCTTTATTTACTGCTACAACTAGCAATAGTAGTATTAACCTCACTTCTTCCAACTAAAACTGATTTGCTGATGCTAACGTACTACCGCCATCTTCATTTTTAATCACAAATCCAACAGCTTGTACTGAAATACTCCAATATTACATTATTAAAAATGTCACCAAAAGTACTAATACTGTCAGTTCCACTCGTGCTACTGGTTGACCTCTGTGAGAACCTGTTGAAAACACATTCACCAACTGCTGGTAATTGTTTTGGTAACACATCGTCTCACTTTTTTCTCAGCTCAGTGCCAACTGGTGCTTTTGTTTACAAAGAATTCCAGACAACTGGTGCAGAAAAAGCACACCTAAGATTTTTTTTTTCTTTCTAAAACTTCCGCACTGTCTGTGTTGAAATCTTAAAGAGTTGTTAACAACTTTGGATGTTGTTTTCTGCCACATGCTCAGTGTAACCAACCTCGGGAAGATAGCAGTTTATTCCTCTTTGCATGAAAAACAACTTCTTGTTTTGTGTGTGTGTGTGTGTTTTGGGTGCAATTCATTCCGCAAGACAGACAGGCATTTGCATTGCAACAGTTTTTCTATGGTCGGCAGCAGCGGCAGCAGCAGCAGCAGCTTTTTTCTATGGTCGGCAGCAGCAGCAGCAGCAGCAGCAGCAGTAGTTTGTGCTCCGTCCTGTTCTCTAACCTTTGTAACATGCTCTCAAAATCAACAGCCAGTGCAAACAGTGCTGCAGACATATAATCACAGCCAAGTTTTTGCTGAAAGTAGCTGGACTTCAAATGCTCCCAGTAGTATTTCAACTCCTCTCCCTCTGCAGTCACTTCATAGAACCATTCATTATTCACTGTAGACTATTATTATTATTCACATTAAGCAGTACACCAGTCATGACATCATAAAATCATTATATTTCCACACTGTCTTAATAAACACGATGCTGGGTTGATTTTTGAAAATTCAAACAACATGAAGAACATAAAGTAGCTTTTTAAGGAATGCTACTATGATTTCCTGTTGGTAGGGGGCAGTGGTAACATGGTGAATGGTTGAGTTTCTCCATGCTTCGACTCCTCTAAGTATCTTGTTGTACAGTCTTTGTGTTGCCCTATTTTCTGTGATGAGCAGATGAGACTGATCAGATATTTTGGTTTGCTTTTAAAAATACCCTGATTGTTACTGCTGATCTAGAGAGAGAGAGAGAGAGAGAGAGAGAAACATGCAGGGAAACAGAGCAGTGTCCCCTCTTCACGCCAAACCTCCTGTGGACAGGCTATGGTTGCCTTCAGAAAAGACCAAAGGATACACGTTGGGGAATGTCAACATTGTTATCCCCTTTGTTGCTATAATGAGCCAAGTTCCTCCTCCTTTGAAATGCAAAATCACAACGTCTTCAATTTCAGAGGCAGCCTGGGTCATTGTTGGATGGCCATACACAACAGACCAGCTACAGCTTGACGAGGAGCAGTTGATTTCTTCCTTTTTTTTCTAGTAGTAGTGGAGCTCCCTGTAGCCCTTGTAGCTATTAAACTAAAGCGCTCTTTGCTAGCCCCCTAGTTGGTAACAAATAATACTCTTAGATTGGAGGTGTGACTGCTTTAAGACCCAGTGTTGTCCCTCTCTGGGCTTCCCAGTCCGTGATGGTGATGTATAAGGTCATTACAGACATTTGGGTGTTGGTGTCCATTTTTATGGGTCATTGTAAGTTCCTGCTATTGTATTTAAAAGCAGATGAAAGGAAACAAAAAGAAAGCCCAGCCTTGTCCTCTCTCTCCTCTCCGTCAAAGGAGCTACAGCTAGATGGCTGCATGTGGTCACTGTAGAAGCAGAGATTCGAGGAAATCCAAGCATGATGACGTGGGTTGATGTGTCACGTGTGTGCACACAGACACAGATAGTCCGTCAAGCTGTGGAGGTCCATCTGTAGGCTGTTTGTGGACAGGTTCTATCTGGTCGAGGTGTATGTGACCACATTTATTCCCCTGCTGTTATGGTATGTACAGGTGTAATAAAACGACTCCATGTGGAAATTAAGCAACGTGGGTTTAAATGACACAGATGGGTCTTTGGCTGTTGCATTTATTATTTCAAAGGAGTAACTTTATTTGATCTTAATCACAAACCAGGCTAGAGGAAACTAGGAAAAACATAAGTCATAAGAAGTTTTCACCTAATTGTATTATTAACTCACAGTACTGGGTACCATTTCTTAGAAATTCAATAGTTCTTGCTTTCAGTGGCTGCTATGTTATGTTATGTTGGTGTCCCCAAAAAGCACATGCAAATGTTTTAGCTGCTATGTTATGTTATGTTGGTGTTTAAAGTCCCCAAAAAGCACATGCAAATGTTTTTTTCTGCCATTAGAAAATTGCCATGACATTCGTAAAATCTTAATTTATTGCTTAATGTTCTTTCCTACAAATTCTTCTCTTAGACTTTAAAACTTCTTTTGACCAATTCCAATTTTCTGTGTTAGTCCTTATTGTTTCTTGCCGTTACCGCTTTTTGCTGATTTTTATGACATGTAATTACAAGACATGTCTCCCAAACTGTACTCAGTCACAGGTTCCCCAAAGGCCACCAATGCCGTGACGAATGACACATTGTTCACTAGTTCTGTATATGAAGGAAAACCTAGAGAGACAGCTGGCTTGTGGCTGGATCTAGATTGGGTATTGCTTGCTAGCGTTAGCTACTTTCCTGTTGTAAGCCTCTTTAAACTGGGCATGTTCGGCTGGATGATGGTGTTTTGGAGTTGGTGTTGGAGTCGGTTATGAAGGACTTCACAGTATTAACCCCAGGGTTAACCTTACTTTTACATATATAACAAATAGTCAACTCCTCTAAGCTCTTCAGACCACTGGTCATTGATTCCGACCACCGCTCAGTCGATTATTGTTTTTCTTCTTACACTGGACTCCATCTTGGGATCATAAAAAGCAAGGATTGAAAGCAGCATCTTCTGAATGGTGGGCAGGAATCCAACTACTGTTCAACTGTAGCCTTTCAAAAAAACATCCTAATAAACAACAGCATTGAACCTGTAAAGAATGCATGACAATGTCTCCCTTAACATACAACTGATTAGAAGAGCTATAAATCAGTAATGAAGGATTTGTATTTCCATGGTTCATGGTTCTGGATGATAGCAGTATTTGTGAGTATTTAGTGTAATGGTGTGTGTGTGTCTCTTTGCTGAGCTTTGGTCTTATGGTTTTACAGACACACCCACATCGGGGCAGGGGCGAAGCCTGTAATTATGGAGAGTGTGTGTTTGTGTTTATCGACTGACTATTAGTGAGAGGAGAGGAGGAAGCAGTGGCAGCCATGACTCTCTCCCAACACCATTTCTGTCAAAGCAATCTCATAACTCCAGTATCGCCCCAAAAATGTGCAAGTCATCACGTTTGATCAGCAGATTTTAGGAAATGTTATAGTTTTAAGTCCTCAACTTTTTCTTTCTGACTTGTGTTGTGTTTGACTATTGGTGTTTAAAGTTCTGTACTAAGGAGACTGAACTGAGTCATATGGAATATTATAATGAGCTCATTTATGTGGCTTCCCCTGCTGATCACTCTTTCTATGGATTAACCAAACATTATATCATCAGCGTATATCTTTATTTATTTTTTTCCCTTGTCCTATCGGTACTAAGGTACTATGAAAAGTTGGTGTATGAGTATGATCACATTGTGGCCACATATTCAGTGTATCTTAAAAAATAATAAATAGCAAATATAGTTTCCAACACAGTGAATATAAAAGGGATAGTTTGTGAGATTGAACTTCATTCAACAAACAAGTGCTCTCTGAAATGCAATATGCAATATTAGTCTTCGGAACAAATGCTGTTATGAGAAAGCCAGTTGCCTTTTATACAAAGTACTTTTTGTACCTTTAAATAATACTGTTGACATAATAAGCAAAGGACAGTACCAGGTACTGCAGTATTTGTGTTCACACTTCAGGGACCAGAAACCATAGTGTTCTCTAACAAAGACGCTGTGTGATGATGCACACAGACCATTCTTGCTGTGTACTAGCCTTACAAAGTTACTATTTATGCCCTCTGTACATAAATGAATATCAGGATTCATCTAATTAAAATGGCACATTATGGAAATATTTCAACAATAAAAGCAATATTAAATAAACAAGTGGATTTTGTGGGTTTGTGACTTTTTAAGGTAACCGACACACACCAGAAGGCAGTGTACAGTACATGTACTGCACTATGGAAATCTGAAGACATGGCTCCCAAAATGAATATGAAGATATTTTTTCAACAC